GGGTGGTGTACCCCTGTCACTCCAGTACTGGGGAGACTAAGACAGTAGGATCACTTTTGAGTTTGTGGTCAACCTGGGCTACATAGCCAGACTTTGTCTAAAAAACAAACACATAGGCTACGGAGATAACTCAGTAGCTTAAGTGTCTGCCTGGCAAGTACAAGGTCCTGAGCTTGATCCCCGGTACCAAAATTATACAAAACAATCAAACCAAACCCAACCCACACCTCAAAATAAATAAAAAGGGAGGATGTCAGATGGGCAGGGCAAGCCTATAACTCTAACATTCTGGGAGGGTGAAATAGTAGGACTAACTATAAGTTGGAACCCACCATGGGCACCTAGGTGAGACTGTTTCAAAATAAGGAATAAAGAAAGGGTCTGGGAGACAACCCATTTATGACCCCTCTTCCTATTTCTCAGGAACTATTCCCACCCCTTATTTCTTCTCAATAAATTTTCCTATTTAAAAAAAAAAAAAAAAAAAAAGGCTCAGGAATATAGCTCAGTGCAAAGACCCTGGTTCAGACTTTAGTATGGGAAGGAAGTGGTTACAGTATAATAGACAGTTAAAACTGATAGCAAGGAAATTCACTGTATGAAATAATCCATTACTAAATAAAGTCAAAACAGTTGGAAGAAACAAGAATTAGCTTCTGTCCAATTTCATCTTACATATTTCAAGATTACATCTTAACTATTCTTTTTTTTTTTTTTGGCAGAACCAGGGATTGAACTCAGGCCCTTATGCTTACCAGGGAAGCGCTTATTCTACTGAGCCATCTCCCTGGCCCATATCCTTATCTATTCTTAATGTGCCACCCCCACCTTACTCCCATACTGGTGACTGAACTCTGCTTACATACTGAGCTACTTGGCTTCTTAATGTCTTAATTCTTGTCTCTGGTCAAACATAATCCTTTTTTTTTTTCTTTTGTTTGTTTTTTTGAGACAAGGTATGTAGCTCAGACTAGCCTTGAACTCACTACTCCAAGCAGGCCTTCAACTCATGGCAATCCTGCCCTAGCCTCCACAGTGTTGGGATTATAGGCAGTGCCACTATGCCTGGTTTACAATCTAATTCCGATCTAAGAATATAGATGACCTAAAATACAGATAACAAAAATACTATGTTTTACATTATAAATTATATGTTACATATAAATAAGATTAATTAGAAATGATTCCTGTGGGGCTAAGGGGTGAAATTTAGTAGTAGAATGCTTGCCAAGCATGTGAAAAAGTCCCTTAGGTCAGCGTACACTCCCTAAAAATTTCCTACAACAATGCCCCTATTAAAAGAGGCAAAAGGGGGCTGGTGAGATGGCTCAGTGGTCTAAAGCACCTACTTAGAACAAGCTAAGCTAAGCAAAGCACAGGGACCACGGTTCAATCCCCCAGCAC